ACAGAGTAACCTCTGTAAATTGGACAACTGGGGATTTGTCAATCTCACTCTCAAAGGTTCCTGGTAAGCAGTTTATACATGTATTATGTCAGAAATACTAGATATCTATATAGTACTATATACCCATCCATAGGTGCATGCATAACTGGCTCCGTGCTACTATGTCTAACAGCATACATATTTCAGCACATGCACATATCTGAATACACAAATGTACATGCATCAAATATGAACACGTGTACAAAACATATACGGACCATATATTGTATAACGGATCAAACATCATGATCCCAAAATGAATAGAACACTATACAACAGTACATATTCTCCAAAAATAACATCTATAATAAATAGTAGCGTCCGGCCACCCAAGACTCCATATCCTCATACTAGTACCTCTAGCCACGGGTAGTGTCCTTGTCCTGTGAGGCTCTTCAATTAACTATGTTCCTGAAATCATATTCCCAAACAGGGTTAGAGACGAATCTCCAGTAAGCTCCAGGTTTATGGAAAACTCTTCATACACTGGGCTCACTTCCTGCATGACAGTCAGATACATAATATACAAAACATCATACAAGTAAATATCATAGCTGAACAAGCATATACACATATCTTATCAAAGATGCACGCAGTATTTCCCAAGGGAGAACCCCAAGCAAAAATCAACGGACATAACAAATATCATAACTAAAATGAGCATATATACTTATCTTATCAGAGATGGACGTAGTATTTTGAAAGGGAGGACCCCAAGCAAAAATCAACGCACATAAATTCATTTACGAAAATCAACACAATAATCACATCAAAATAAAACATATCTTATCAGAGACGTACGCAGTCATTCCCAAGGGATGACCCCAAGCAGGAATCTACATACGTAACAAATATCATATACAAAATCATCACAATAATCACATCAGAACAAAACATATCTTATCAGAGACGTACGCAGTCATTCCCAAGGGACGACCCCAAGCGAAAATCATCGTACGTGTTCCCAAAGGAGTACCCCAAGCGGAACCAGAACATATCAGAGGTGTACACCATCAATCCCGAGGGATGACCCCAAGCAGACATCAGTGCACATAGGATCAATGGCCAGAGATCATCACATAACAGAGGTGTACACAGTCAATCCCAAGGGAAGACCCTAAGCGAAAATCAGTGCACATGTTCCCAAGGGAGGGCCCCAAGCGAAACTCAACATATAACAGATATATACACAGTCAGTCTCAAGGAAGGACCTCAAGCGGACATTAGTGCATATAGAATCAATGGCCAGAGATCATTACAGAAATCACATCAAAACATATCAAAGTAAACACATCAAAACATATCAAATTAAACACATCAAAACATATCAAATTAAACACATCAAAACATATCACATCACATCATCATATAGTTCTATATGAATGCATCTATATCATATATCTCATACATATCATATAACCTGACCACAGTCCGTACACTATGGCGGAACACAAAGTAGGAGCGAACCCCATAAACATAGAGCTTACCTTTTGAAGCTTTACCAATTTGCTCACTTGTAACACGAGTTACCTATTTAGCTCCAAAGAAATCCAAACACGCTCAGTCATTAGGCACACCTAGAGAAAGAATTCAAAACGAAATCAATAAAATGTTACTATGCCATGAAATTTACACAAGGCATACATCTTATTGCTTACTTTCATTTCTTCACATTATGCCAATTTACAAGTCAAGACCATCCTTTCTTAAGATCATTATTTAACACATTTACGGATGATTACTCGTAACACAAGCAACCACCCGGTTTCATAGTTACCTAGGGTCCTTAATTGACCCAACCAAGCTTCTAACATAATCTTTACAATTTTTAACATTTTCTAGTTCCACAATTCATGCAATGGCCGAAACCCATACCAAGAAAGACTAGGAATTTTCATCAATTCTTTTTACACAACCATTGGTTCGTAGAACCCACACTTAGCCCCAAAATTATTCATACATTCTCATAACATTTTTTTTTAAGTTTAACTTTGCCTAATTTTTGTTCACAAAGTCATGGCAATTTATACAAGGGAGCTAAGGTGCCTCTCATTTTGCCTTAAACCATTTAACTACCAAATCATACTTAAATCATGCATTAGGACTTAGATGCATCACTAAAATAATTTTAACTAAATTTTCCCAATAATACCCTAAAGGCCGAAATGCATAGGGTAGGTTTCCAAGGGATTTTTCACAAAAAAATCTCACTTTCACACTTAATCTCAACATACACCAATATTCAAACTTTCACAATTTATGCAATTAAATTTTTTGCACATCAAGCCTAAGTCCCTATTATAATTTAGCCTAAAAACGTGGTAAACCAAAGGTTTATCAATGCATCACTAAGATAATTTTAACTAAATTTTCCCAATAATACCCTAAAGGCCGAAATGCATAGGGTAGGTTTCCAAGGGATTTTTCACAAAAAAATCTCACTTTCACACTTAATCTCAACATACACCTATATTCAAACTTTCACAATTTATGCAATTAAATTTTTTGCACATCAAGCCTAAGTCCCTATTATGGCTGAATTCTAGGTGCTCCAAGGGGAATTTTTCTTAATTTTTTTAAACACATGTTCATGGTTATTCTACATTACAACTTACTACACAACACTAATTCATTACAAATTTCCAATTTCAAACTCAAAATTCCCACCAAAACATACTTCAAAATTTCAAAACATAAATCACAAAATTTAAACCATGGAAATAGAGATTTCTCACCTTTAATCCCTTATACCAAGCCTAGAGAACAACCTCCAAGCAAAGCTCCATGAAAAACCACCATTTTTCTCTTTGATGAATAGTAATCCGAATTGGGGGAAGAGGATAGCTCTTTCTACTAGCAATTTTAGCCTAAAATAAGGGGTGGAACGGATTCATTGGATGATTTCCTATTGATTTCATGTAATGGACTTTTTCATTTGGATGCTTGTGTAGAGAGAAATCAAAGGAAGAAATTTTGAAACCCAACCCCACCCATGGAAGAGCTTCGACAAACAGAGAAGGAGAAGAAGAAAGGCAGCGCATAGGAGGAAAGAAATAAAGGAGTTTACGGTGTGTAAGTTTAAGTTACTTTAACTGGGTAACAACTTATCTATCTACACACTTCCATCCAATACCAAACTTTACCCAATGAACTAGAATATTTTTTCAGTCAGATTTCTAACTTTACTTTCTCTTTTTGGGTAACTTTGTTTACCTGCATTTTTACCCCTTAACTGTCATTTTAACGTATTTTTCATCAAATGTGACTTTATTTTTTTTCTTTATAATTATACTTCAATATTAAATCCATAATAAATGTGAGGGTCATTATATAGGAGGAAGAAGAATTTAAAGGATTTTCACGGTTTGTAAAGTTAAATTACTTTAATTGGATAACTGCTTATCTATCTACACACCTCCATTTAATACCAAACTTTATCCAATGAACTAGAATATTATTTTAGTCATATTTCTAACTTTACTTTTGCATTTTGGATAATTTTTCCTACACACATTTTTACTCCGAAAATCTCACGTACTTTTAACCTCAAAAGGAACCCTAATTTATTTAATTAGGTCTTTTACTTAATTTAACTCATTTATACATGATTAATGTAACGATCGGCCGCTTCAAGAATCAACGACTATCCCCACATACTAACACGAGACTTTTCAGTGTGTTTTTTCCTCACTCGCACACTTCCCTGGGAAAACTTCCCAGGAGGTCACTCATCCTAAAATTGCTCCAAGTCAAGCACGCTTAACTATGGAGTTCTTCCGTTCCGGGCTACCGAAAAGTAGATGCATCTTGTTAGTATGGATAGTACCAATTAATTCTTATAAGCTATCCCAGACTATGCAGTCTTATACCTGCACAGTCTTTGGAATCCCTCTCTTTCGGGTGTCGATTCGATTCATTCATGCATGTAACCCCTGCTAGAAGCCTGTCAAGAGCCGCTCCTTGTCCGTGCCTCTTTGCACCGGCGATCACTCCCCGCCCTCGTTGGCGCTCGAGATGTTACATGCCCACCAGCTTCCGCCTGGTTCGTCCTCGAACCACACCGAACTGGAAGAGAGGCCTGCTCTGATAGCACTTGTAACGCTCGGCCGCTTCAAGAATCAACGACTATCCCCACATACTAACACGAGAATTTTCAGTGTGCTTTTTTCTCACTCGCACACTTCCTGGGAAAAGTTTTCCCAGGAGGTCACCCATCCCTAAATTGCTCCAAGTCAAGCACACTTAACAATGGAGTTCTTCCGTTCCGGGCTACCGAAAAGTAGATGCATCTTGTTAGTATAGGTAGTACCATTTAATTCTTATAAGCTATCTCAAACTGTGCAGTCTTATACCTGCACAGCCTTTGGAATCCCTCTTTTTCGGGTGTCGATTCGATTCATTCATGCATGTAACCCCCTGCTGGAAACCTGTCAAGAGCCGCTCCTTGTCCGTGCCTCTTTGCACCGGCGATCACTCCCCGTCCTCGTCAGCGCTCGGGATATTACAATTAAATATTTAATCACATGCCTTTTTTTAATTAAACGGGTTAGGGGTATTATAAATATGAGTTGTACATTCAATTCTAATTTTAAACTAAATAAAAACACCTAGTACTTATTTGATACTTAACTGTAAAATCACTATATTGTTCTGACTCCAAAACTAGAGAGCATAAAGTATGAATACAGCAATTGAATCTTAAACATCTTCGAGTTGGGAAAACTTTCCAAAATATTGGAAAGTTGTTTAAAAAATGGCTTTAAAGTGGATAACATTGTTCTTTGTTTGACAAGCAAGCTGGGGAGAACTTATACTGAAATTGGTCTAAAAAACATGAAGTGGTACAACAGCACGAAGGCTAAAAAGAATAAGTGCATGTTGGAGCATAGTTTTCTCGTGTAATTCTCCACAAATTAGTCCAACAACACCAAGTAATATTGTGGATCTTGAACTGGAAAGATTTACATGGCCTCTCTACCCTTCTGTTGGAGCACAGTTTTGTAAGCAACTTCACCAACTAAATTTATATAGTAGGTTACCTGCCATGGGCAGATGCATTAGTTGAGCTTTGATAAATATTTGTAGAGTCATTTAGACATTTGAGAAAATTACTGAATACATGGTATTTAACCAATTATGTCATGCATAATGACTCATAAATTTTGTGCAACATCCACTTTAATGTAACAAGTAGGAGTAAGGAGCTGAGTCCAAAACAATTCAGAATACTTGAGACCAATGAGACAATGAATATCCAAATCCTTAAGTTTCCTCATAGAATTGATGAATGAATACTGCATAGAGTTAGCTACCCACAATTTGCACCGAGCTGACTCGGTGAAGAAGGAATCCATTAGCCAATTCTCTAGACAGACAAAAACAAAAAGGAGGAATTCATAAGGTAGGTAACAGATGTTGAGTAAAGCACAAATCACAGGGACTGAAGGTGAATGAATACTAACCTGCTAAAGACAGAATTCCCATTTAGAAAAACTGAATAGGGTTTTTTCTCAATCAAGGGTTTCCAATGTAAGCAACACTACCCTCAATGGCATTGTTAGTACAATCCTGCCCACAATGGCATGGTTAGTACAAACCTGCCCACTCAGGTACACATTCTGAGGAGTAAAGGGTGAATGTCAGACAAGAGACAGTTCAGTCATCATGTCAAAAATTTAGTATGTGGAAATTTTCCCTATAAAAAAACGTTATAATTGCTTTGTGCTTACTACTGCAAATTTCAGAAATATACTGTGCAAATACTCAAAATCATACTTTTTCTTCATTTGATCCTTATTCTCTCCACAAATGACCAGCTGTTGGTATCCAATAACAATGCGCCTAAAGTTACAAAAGAGATAAAAGAGTTTATCAACAATTGGAATGATTTTATTATCACATATGAATTTGCAATAGTACAGGTTTTTGGGACATTATTATTATTTTTAACATATTGATGTCAGATTTTGAATGAGTCATTCTGAAAAAAAAGTTTAATGCCGAGACTGACCATACCAATTGCTACTGTTTGCTTCCAGTGTTCTGATCAGCCAATCCAACTGATTGTTTCTGTTGCCACTTAATGATCCCTTCAAGACCAAGTCCTTCAGTATCAGAAAAGTAAACGTATAAGAGAAGAGACTAAAGCTTGTTAATACACAAGGACATGGTTTTAAATTGTCAACAATCAATTGCAGCCAGCAATATTGTGGTTTGGAGGTCTTCACAGCCGCATTGTCTGCAATTTTTCACAATTTTGGTAATCACAAAGCAACTGAAACCGCAATTTATAACCATGCAGTGAGACAGTAAATGAAGCTAGATGATATCGACTCAAAACAGTTAAAGGAAAAAGGAAAATATGCAAATAAATAAGCTGGACCTGGACTCATGTATGAGATGTCAGTCGAACATTAAAAGTAAAGGACATAAAAAGAAAGTAAAATTGAATGACCACGGTATTGATGGTAATTAAACAGATTTTTTCTTTTTCCTATGGTTAGAAGAAGTAAGAGTGGCACTTAATCATACAATTACATGGAAAGCCAACAACAGATGTTTAATATGTTGTTTTATATCAGGTAATTGTTATTTTCTTTTATTTTTTTATTTGTAGTTATCAAAAAGAATGTCAGGGATAGCTGTCACAATATTTGTTGTTGCAACAGAGACAAGGGGTCGAAAGAGGGAGGAAATCTTTATTATTCTTAGTACTATTGCTATTTATAATATTTTATTGGTATTGCTATAATTATAACATAATGATATATTTACCTACATAATTGTGTTTTATATATCGAAGTTACAGAAAAAGTGAAATGTTATTTGTTTATAGAAAGCCACATTAGCAAGTGAGATAAGTGAAGATATAGCCAAATTATACACATTAGAATGTGAGTGATCCACAATAACATAGGTTATTTGTTTGAAAGCCATCCAGATCAGATATTTGCATGATCCTAAATCCAAATTAGTTTTAGGTGTCTTCATCAAAGTTATAGATCTTTCTCTTAGCTTTCTGAAACACCAAAGAATATAAAATTTCATGATGGGAAGCTCACGATATGAGTAAAATACTGAAACCTGCCTAGATTTTATGACAGCACCGTTGTCCTAACTTCGTGTCTAATTTAAGCTACTCAAACATCAGAATTTGATTTCGACTTATACTGTAACATCCCCGTCTCGAGCCGGTTCAATTAACATACATATGATAAAACAGAAAACAGCGGAAGACTTAACTTCTGAAAATACGAGCTAACTTTTTCTTTTTCTTTTTAAATCTTACTCGGGGTAAACGAAAATCGGGCAGAGTTTCCTCTATAAATCGGACAACTGGGGATTTTCCAATCCCACTCAGAAGCATTTCCTGATAAACAGTTTATACAGCATAGTAATCCAGAAGTACCAGTCATGCAGATACAATCAGATACCCATCCATGGGCGCATGCAAAATATGGCTCCGTGCCACTATCCTAATCAACATGCAATCCAATACGAAATCATAAACTGAATAATACATCATCATATGACGTGCCTGAATACCCAAATGTACATGCATCCAAGTGACAGACATGTACAAAACATATACAGGCCATATACAAAATAAAGGATCAATATCGTGATCCATCAAATGCGGAAATACTAAAAGACAACAAACACTCCAAAAGGTAGTAGCCTACAGCCACTCAAAATCCGATTTGTCAACTGCCTCAGCCACATGTCGTGTCCCTGCCTAGTGAGGACTCACCGGGAATCTGGGCACCTGAAAATATGTCCCCAAGAGGGGTGAGATTACAAATCTCAATAAGCTCCAGGTTTATAGAGAATTCTCCATACCCCTGGCTCACTCCTGCATGAAAGTCAGATACAGAGTATACAAATACAACATATAACAGATATCATAACAGAACAGATCATATATCCATATCATATCAGAGATGTGCGCCGTCATTCCCAAGGGAGGACCCCAAGCGGAAATCAACGCACGTGTTCCCGAGGGAGGACCCCAAAGCGGAACCAGACATATCAGAGGCGTACACCATCAGTCCCGAGGGAGGACCCCAAAGCGGACATCCGGGTACTATACAATCAATGGCCAGAGATTGTTACAGAAATCATATTACAGAAGTCATATCAGAGCAAAACATATCATGTTATCAAATAACTCTATATGAATGCATCTATACAAAGCATCTAAATCACAGTCATACAGTCCAACCATAGTTCACTAACCATGGTGGAGCACTCAAGCAGGAAAAGACTCCTTAAACATAGAGCTTACCTCTTGAAGCTTTACCAATACGCTTACTTGTGGAACAAGTTACTTTTATCGCTTCAAGAGATTTCCGATCCTTCTCAATCCCTAGGCACACCTAGAGAATAATTTACAATGCATCAATAAAATGATGCAATACCATGATTATTTCATAAGCATACATTTTATCGCTTATTTTCCTTTCTTTATATTTTTGCCAATTCTATGCCAATACACAAGTCTAGACCTCTATACACCCGTTGGCGTTCTTTAATTTAATCAAGCATTTACTTAAGAATTTTTCACATAAATCATGCTATTTTTCTTTAAAAGTCGCGGGCATACCCTTAGGGACTCAAGGTATTTTTCAACCATTTGTCAAAGCATTTCACTTCTTAGCTCATCCATTGGTATATTAAAATGCAACACATTTTATTAGAATAAAATGTAACCAATATATATATACCCCTAAACATCCTATAGTTCGCAACATAGAGCAAGTATTTGTAGGATTTTTTCTAACTTTGGCATTTCCACCAATTAATCCATTTACACTTCATTCCAACATATTTTACCTTTTCAAACATACAATAAAAATTTGCATGATGAACCCTATATAAGCCATGAAGGCCGAAACCTAGGGGAAAAGTGCACTAGGGCTTTTCAATTTTTTTATCACAAATTAATGCTTACTAAACACTATCATTCCTAACCAACAACAATCCATCATAATTTTCACCTTCTAACATCAAATATTTCCCACTCAAAACATGCTCCAAATTTTCAAAACATAGATCACAAAATAATACCATAGAAATAGAGGTTTCTTACCTCTAATCACTTGTACAAAGCCTAGAGAATAACCTCCAAGCAAAGCTCCATCAAAAACTCACTTTTTCTCCTCCTATGAATAGTAATCCGAAAATAAGAGGAGGAATAACTCTTCACACACTCAACTATAGCTCAAATGGATAGGTGCAATGGATTCCTTGAGTGGTTCCTAATCAATTTCAAGTGGTGGGTCATAAGATTTGGTTGAGAATTCAAGAAGAAATCAACAAAACAAGCAAAACCCTAACCCCCCCCCCCCTTTTTCCATGGCTGAAGCTCGGCCCTTCAAGAGAGAGAAGAAGAAATTTTTGCAATGAATAGTGATTCATTTAAGTGGCCAAGCTATTTAGGCACATGTGGCCCTTTTGTCGGATGTTTTTCTATCGCGTATTTCACTTAAATTTACCCGAAACTTAACTTAAAGCTTCTGATATATTTTTATTTTTCTAAAGTTATTTAAATTAATTTTTATTTCCTACGGAACAATATTCATAATTCACAGTATGGTTTTTGCACCGTTTTTAACGAAATGCACTGTGAACCACTAACTGTACTTTATTTAATTCTGAAACTTAACACTTATAAACTTATCATTTTCTTGGGCCTATATTGACTTGCTTGGCATATATTGGACTTTCCTATTCTTATTTCATCAATGATTTATTTCTGGACTCTACCGGTTGCTTACACAACAGTACAAAATACCCGGTAAAAACACTATTCACGAGATTTTCACGGAAAGTGCCAGACTATACAATTTCTCTTTCTGAACTCATATTTGTCGTCAGAATTATCAAATTATGTCTCTAAAATTATTTTGCTCTTTTTAAGCTCTACCGGTTAATTCACAAAACTGTAAATTCTCCGGCAGAACGCACTGTTCATAACATAGTCATGATTACAGTCAAAATACTCGAAATCACTCACTAAATCTAATTATGGCATTTAAATCCTTAAATTAAATCTCTAATTAAGATTTATCCTATAGGGTCATTATATATACACAAAAGTTTTAGGCCAAAGTCTTACCTTTTCAAAATACATGAGAATAGCCGAATCCGATGTATATGTTTCCTTCTTATTTGTAACTATACTATGTTTTTCATCTGTATATTCTGCCTACAATTAATATAGATTTTTACATATGTTGTGTTACAATTTTGTATGGTCACTGTGGAAGTTTGGACTTATTACAAGAAAGCATAAATAAGTTTAATGGATTAAGGGATACCATTCTAAATATTGTATGCGACCTGCTACTCATTACATTCATATTTGTCTCACCAAAATGCCTGTTAACTATAAAAATAATAATAAAAATCAGCACATATATACATGTATTGTATACACCTACCTTAACTTTAAAAAAAGAAAAGAAAAAAAGAATTCAAGTCACAGAGAGCAAACCTCGGAGCTCTCATGAATTTGGAAATTCTGATTTTCATCAACAAGAAGATCATTAATTTCTTCATTATAGTGAGGGAGCTTGCTGAGATGGCCAAATTGGCTGTGCAAGCAAGAGTTCATCATATAGCCATCTGAATGAATCGAAGTAACCATAGTTGTAATTTGACAAAGCCAAAGAAAATTCCACCTTTGTCAACCAACCAAATCACGCATTGTACGTTGTTGTTATCTAAATCCTGAAGTAGAAGGTCTAAAGCTCGCTAAGCTTCTTGCACACCCTTCTCCTCAGCCGCTACCATCCAGAAAAGGAACCCCAATGTACAAATTTGACACCTTTCTTGAAGAAATTTTTGCTTTCAACAATGATTGGATTATGGATAGCATTATGTTATGGTAGAAAATTTCCTGAATTGCCCATCGTGTATACGATAAAATGCCTGAACCACCTACTTTCTTTGGACTATGCTTCACAAACCAACTCAACTGCCTTTGATTTGATTCTAGTTTCTTGTATTAGTTATTTGCTATTTGATTTTCAAATTTTTCTCTTTTTATAGAGATTGTTTTCCTTGTACTATGCTTCTTTGTTGGTAGGATAAAGATCATCTGAATGCAGCTATGGTCACCACTACTGAGTACCCATCCGTTAATAATATATTTAACTTAGTTTAAATTTACTATGTTATTAGTTTCTCTTGTTTTAATGGCATTTATCCAAAAGTCGCATTTTTTTATTCTTATATTTAACCTTTTGCAAATGCAAGATAAGGTTATCTACCATAGATCCTTCCATGGATTCTGTGGATGCTGGAGATTTACAACAGAAAGAACTTTATTAACTTGTACAGTGAGAACTCCTCAAGTAATAACTGAGAAGTATAGCAGTTTGGCTCGGCTCGACAACCTGCCCCACCGGTCAAATTGAGCTTTATAATCCATCTCAAAAGTGTGGTGGACGAAACGAGCTCCTTTTTTGTCGGGTTGATGACAGACATAAGTAGGGGGAGGCAAGACAGTGTAAAATAAGTTCAACGGGCCAACTCGCCGAAATGGAGCGAGACGCTCACCTTGCCACCTCTACTAATAAATAACAGGATATAAGAACGTTTTAAATACTATAGTTTTTTATTTAAAAAAAAAATTCTCTAAAAATAAATCTAAAAATTATAATTACTTTTTATTCTTAAAATCAATTTAAAAAAAAAAGATGTCTAAGTTATTTTTATTGATATAAGATATTATTGTTACCAATCAATATTATTACAAATTTATTATATTAATTGAATAAAAAATTATAACCATACAACAGTAAAAATAAATATTAAATATTAAATATAAAAAATAAATTTAAAATATTAAATCAAAATCATTGTATCAACATAATTAGTTTATCTAACTATAAATAATATTAATTGTAACAATATCCTATCTCATTTTTATTTAAAAAATTATTTTATCGATTATTCTGCAAAACAATTTAAAAAACAAAAAGTAAAAAAAACAATCAAACAGATTCTACTTCTCATGAAAAGCTATTTGATGATAATTTTTGTTGATCTAAATATTAAAACACAAATATGTTTTTAACATTAGGTCCCAACTTGGCTCAAACTAATAAACTGAAGTCGACATGGTAAAGAAAACAATATTTCGTGTAAAAATAATCAATATTTCGTGTAAAAATAATCAATATTTCAGCAGCAACTATGTAACCGAAGTGAAAACTCATAATAAAGCAATGATGATATTCAAAAATAACGATTAAAACCATGTTTGTCAGATGATGTTTGGAACGAGAGAAGAATAATATTTTTCATGTAATCAGAAAAAGCTTTTCATCTCTCGTTTCAAACACCTCTGCCAAACATCGCCTTAAAAACAGTTGCGGTGGCGGGTCACGGCATGGATCATAGCAACAAAAACAACATAGGAGGAGAATTAAGAAAGAAAAGGGTTTTCGGAACGCATAGAGATATTTCGGAAAATTTTGTATATGTTGGCGTAAGTTAGTTGCTTAGAGCAGCCTCAATCTGAAAGGTGTGGGACTTCAACAACCCTAGTTTTCTCTCAATCTAGTTATATAGAGAGGCTGTTGTCGGTCTTCTGCTTCTATGACGATTATACCCTCCACGGTATTTGAAAGCGTTGATGAGGATGAGCAGTGTTTTAGTCATTTAGCAATGTTCTAGTGTTTTACAGCCGACACTAAGATTATCTCCATTTACATCCTCATCTTAAGATTATTTTTTTAAATATTTTATTTTTTTAAAAAAAAATTAATAAATTCTAGATATTTTGTCTTTAAGACTCTATAAGTAAACAATAAAATTCGTAAATTTTTATAGTTTAATTAACTTAAAAATTATAATAGAATTTATATGTTTATATTTTTTTATAATTTAACTACATCTTCAATTATATGTTTTCTAAAATTATAACTATGTGTTTAAAATCTAATGGCTTTTATAGGTATGAACATTCTTTTATACTTTTAAAAATATTGAAAGTATAAAATTTAGTTTGCAAAAAATATTTGAAATTTCTTTATTACATTTTTTTTTTTTGGGTATCCTGGTTGGGGTCAAATCCCAAACCAAGCTAAGAATAAGTAATACAACGAGTTATATCAAAATCCCAATCCTGATTTCTCCGGTTTACAGATAACCTAATCTCTTACAGAGATTTGTCGAATTCCTTCAACTTATCACCCTAGGCCTGTGCTCTTTCAAGACATGCCCAAAAGTATACCTATGAGTTTCCATGTTTCAGGCAGACGAGGTATACAATCAAAACATGCCTTCTAGAACACAGCCTAGGTGACAACTTATGGTCTAAGGAAAGACATACCCAAATATTAAGAGACTGCTCTAATGATACTTTTGTAAGATTTCTTCATAGAGTCTCTTTGTGGGTCTGTTCAGTGCGAGCTATACCCTTATAGGTCCACCCACGACTTTAGCTAAGACATCTCCATATTTGTAGCTCATGAGGTCTTTACCTTGTATCCGAATACAAGTAGATAAGTCGTGCTAGTCTTACCCGAGATTACTGATCCTCATTCTTAGTGTCTCTAGACTAGGAACATAAAATTAGGAATAAACATCTGGTATCCTTAAATCCTCATGATCGTGATCTCATCACAGATACTCAAGAGATACCTATTTTATTCCAAGGGGTTTATCCAGTTACTCATATAATATATTAACAATAATATTGAGACAAAATATGAAACAGGATAAAGAGTGCTTATTATTTATTTGCGACAATATAAAAAGGTTCACATATGTCCTAATCTAATCAAAAGATTGTCTCTAGGACATCCATATACTAACAGTATTTTACCCCAAAAAAAGCATAACATAAATCAAACACAACCCACTTTGTCCAACATGATGGGTTAATAGGTTTTGGGTTTAGAATTTTGTTATATGATTTTTGGACTATGATTGGGGAAAGGCCCAAGTAGGTGTAGGGTAGGGTTGGGGATAATTGGATCAATTTGAATTGTATTAGTTTTCACCAACCAAACTAAAAATCAATCCAATCGAATTAATTTTACGGGTTTTTTTTTATTTTCAATTAATTCGGTTATTGGTTTTTCGATTTGATCACCGCGATTTGAATCGGTTGATGAACACCCCTGCTCTACGCCAATAACCTACATCAACTATATAATTTTCATCAACATTCTTGCAATTATCATAGGATTTACGAATCCAACACATGAACATAAAATTACATCAACATGTGCAATAATCACACTGCTAGAACAAGAATAAGATAAACATTACCTTACACTAATGCTTACATAATGTGTTATCCAATCTTATATATATATATATATATATATATATATATCATGAACTATAAACCAATACATTTACAAGTTTCTTCAAAAGGAAAGTTAACATCATGCCATCCAAACAAATATACATAGACATCAAAATGGATGCATCATCATCAAATCTCCTCAAGCATAAGAGCCTTTAGCTTTATACGGGTCTCTTTCCTTGTGAAGGCTATCCTGCTACTACTAGAGTACCTAAAACATGTCCCCAAAAAGGGTGAGATACAAATCTCAGTGAACCCTGGGTTCTTGAAGCAATTTTCCTTGCAAGAATTCACTTTCAGCAAGAAAGGTTAGTACACATGACATAAAGGCAACATATAACTAGAGGGATGTACAAAAGAAAGTTAACATCATGTCATCCAAACAAATATACATAGACATCAAAATGGATGCATCATCATCAAATCTCCTCAAGTATAAGAGCCTTTAGCTTTATACAGGTCTCTTGCCCTATGAGGGCTACCCTGCTATTGCTGGAGTACCTGAAACATATCCTAAAAGGGGTGAGATATAAATCTCAGTAAACACTGGGTTCTTGGAGTAATTCTCCTTCCAAGAATTCACTTCCTGCATGAAATTTTAGTACATATGGCATAAAAGTAACATATAACTAGAGGGATATATAAATGATTGTGGATCTGTGCAACTAGTCTATTGTGGACTTGTGTTCCAAAGGCACAAAGCTAACTCTGGTTGGATGCCTCCCAAGAGTAGCAAACTTCCAAGGGCTATCCCTCAATAGATGATATCCCCAAGGCAAGTCTATGTTCCAATTGGCCAAATAACTAAACAATCACATCACACATATTCCACCCATAGTGCTTGTCTAATGGTGCACTCACCAATGTCACAATGACTTTATATGAATGTAGTTATACCATAACACTAATATACCAACCATCGTCCAAACATATAACCATTGTCTCATTGAACCATGGTGGAACAACCAAGAGGGATAAAATCCCAAGAAACAAAGGTTTAACTCTTGAAGCTATGTACTATATAGCACTTTCCTTGTCGAAGATTTCTTCAATCTAATACACAATCTTTCAACCAATATCACCTATTTAAGGGATACAATTCCATTTATCAATATATACAATGATACAATTTATTAAGTCAAGGCTTGAATATTTCCAAAAATATGCTTTTTGAATATTCACCCTAACACTTGACAATTCAAGACTTCAAGCCCCAAATGACTTATCCTCGTTAGGTAATTTCACCAATGCAACCTATTCAAGGTATACATCAATTAATTAAACATATACATAACAATATATTCATATACCAAAACTTCCAATTTTTTATCAAAGTTTTAGGTTTGGTTACTTACTCAATTCTTAATAATTCAAGACTCCAAGTTTTGGTAACTTGGTGGTTCCAATGGATGCACTTCCATCACAACCTCACTTGGTTCACCACTATACATCAAACAAGCATATATATCACCATCAACATTCATTCCCAAGACTCAAAATGCCATAAATATACACTTTGCTCATGAGTCAAAATTCCAAGTTGATTAAAGTGATGGTTTCTATCTTTTTCCTTTGCCAAGAACATCTACCTAACATATTTTGTGAAGGCATCTAGGTTCATTTTCACCACAACATTACCAACCATGAAAATCCTCTTTAAATACACACTTTGTTCATGACCAATGATTTCGAAAATGACAATAATGGTGATTTCATTGTTTATTCTTCATTAAACATATTTCCTAATCATTTCTTCTCAAAGGACCCAAGCCAAATTCAAGTCATAATTCATGTTGGATATTATTCACTCAAGAACCCTAGATCTGAATCATCATAAAAGCTAATGGAAGGTTGAGTTTCTTACTAAGAAATGACTTAGAAGCACCAACAGAAGGCTCCTCATGCAAGAATGGAAGCAAAGCTCTCCTCCTCCACGATTCTTCAAAAATGGCGTCACTTTTGGGGGAGGATTTCTCTCTACTCAATGCTTCCCAATTGTAATAAAGAGGTGGGTTATGTTTGTTGGAGGAAGATGAACAACTTTGGTGACCAACACTTAATGTTTTGGTTGCTTAATCATGAAACGAATTTTTGGAGCTCTTCAACCATGGGTGCCTCGGCCAAGGGAGGGAATTCCGTGAAGAAGAAGAAGAAGGAAGTGAGTGAAAGTGTTTTGGTTTGGTCACTTAAGTGATTTTGACTTTGGTCAACACTTTGAATAAGAAATGACCAATTTACCCTCTTCTAATTTGATTCCTTAATTTCATGGGTTTAGGTGGAGAGTATCATGCAGAATTAGCCCTAAGGGCAGTTTTTACCAAATTATCATTTTGCCCCCGCGGAAACTTAACCCTAAATTAGGATTTTCACTTAATTAACAATCTAATTATGCATTAATTTCTAATTAATAAAATTTGATTATTTTGATTATTATATATGAGTTTTGGTTGTAGGCATTTTAGCCTAACCTGCATAGGCTAAGGCCTAACAGGTGGATTGTCCCTTTCTAAATGCTTTACAAAATGATAACTTTAATCATATTTGCTTTTCAAAATCATTCAGCAAAAGAAAGTACAATTAGGCTTTAATAAAATTTAAGTGAATGAATGACCGAATACATATATGCAAGGGTCATTATTACTCGATATTTATCATTTATGGTTTGTTTTTATGTATCATTACTTGTTGTATAAACTACTATCTTGTTGCTTATTCAATTCTTTCTTTTTTAAAAGAGAAATTAAAATATACTTCATATATTCATATTTGTTATTACTACTAGCAATTCAATTTGCACTATGAGCAACTTGTATTAACACTACGAATTATACATATATAATAAAACAAATATGATTGAAAAATAAGAATTATCTTCAATTTTATATTTTTATATCTTTCATTAAATTTAAAAATGAATAATAAGACGCACTCTATTTGTAATAGACACATTATTGATAACTATTTTTTTTTTTAAAGTAGTGGACTACATAATGGTTGGCGAAACACTAGCTCTATGGTGCTATATTAGGAGTTAGGATGTTAGGGAGGATAAACTAGCTCGGGCTCTATCAAATGTTGGAGAGTATTTACGAAAGCTGCTTATGATCTGATTTCATGAAACAATATATGCATCTCCATCAGGAATTTAGTTTGGCATTGGCTTGCACCACAACGAATGCAATGTTTATCTTTTTATTTTGTTTTTACTTTTTTGGGCTTGCTAGGCATATGAAGCTCACGATTCAGGTTTGAGGTTATATTAATTAATTTATTTTTTATTTTTATTTTTTAGGCTTAATTCTTTGATGGTAATGCTTGTTATAAATTTAAGATGGAGAGATAAGAGAGATATACATGTTACAAGACAAAGGGGAGAAATAAGATATAAGATAAAGAAGAGTAGAGAAGACAGAGGTAGATTTCTTATTCTTATTCATCATCTCTATTTTGATAGGAGTCATGCGCTTATATAAGACTCTATACATAAGGAATGATTAAGTATAATGACCCTAAGTGGTAAATCTTAGTTAGAGACTTAATTTAATGATATAAATGTCATAATTAGATTCAGAACGTGAATTTGAGTGTTTTGACTGTAATCATGACTAGGTCATGAACAATGTCTTCTGTCGGGAATTGTGCACTGATGTGTAGCAATCGATAGAGCTCAGAAATAAGCAGAATGATGTTAGAAACCTAATTTGGCAATTCTGATGCTAAATACGAGTTCAGAACATAAAATTGAGTAGTCTGGCACTTTTCGCGAAAATCTCATGAACAGTATTTTCTGTCAGGTATTTTGTACCGCAGTTTAAGCAACCGACAGAGCCCAAAAATAAATAAATGATGTGATAAGTATATGAAATTACAATATATGCCAAACAATTCATGTTAGACCCAAAAGTTATAAGTTTAGAAGTTTTATGGCTTTGCGTGCAAACAGTGCACAGTTAATGATTCCATGTGTATTTCGTCAAAAACGGTGCTGAAACCCAATTGTGAATTGTAAATATTGTTCCTTAGGAATAAAAGTTAATGTAAATAAGCTCAGAAAAATAAAATTATATCCGTAGCTTTGAGTTAATACGGGGTCAAGTTAAGTGAAATTAAGTGAGAGAAAAATACCCGTTAAAAAGTCACATGTGAATGCCTTAAGATCCACTATTCATCAAACTCTAAACCTTTCATCTCTCTCTTCAATTCACGGCCAGCCATGGAAAAGGGGTGGTGGTGGTTAGGGTTTGCTTCTTTCACTCTCATTCTCATTCAAAAATCTACCAAAACATCAAGTGTCTTACATGAAATTTTAAGTAGGAAACCTAGTAAATCCAACCATCTCCTCCATTTGCCTTGAAAAGTTTTGTGTTGAGAGATATCTCTTCCCCGATTTTGTGACATTATTCATCAAGAGAGGAAAATGAGGAAAATTTGAGTTTTTTTTATGAAACTTTGCTTGGAGGTTGTTCTTTTGACCTCTTAGGTGTTATTAGTAATAAGGAATCTCTTCTTTATGGGTTTAATTTTTGGATTTGAAGTTTTAAATTTCAAGAGCATTTGGGTGGGAAAAATGTTTGATTTGAAATTTGAATTTGTGGGGAATTATTGATGAATATGATGTAGTAATGCAATGTGAACATGTACATTAGTGTAAAGCTTGGAAAATCCCATTAAATCCTTCCACCCTATTCGGCCATGGTGTGAAAAATTAGGGTTGGATGTTCAAAAATTGATTGGACACTTTGTGAAGGTTTATGTATAGGTAAGTTGTGAATTGAGTGGATTAATTGAATGACACTTAGTGGTGTCTTAGGTCTTGAGGCATAAATGGATGAATTAATGTGTTAAAAGGGGTTTAGTATCTAATGATGATTATGGTTGTATGATAGGCATGTGGTGGCCCTAATTATATATGTGATGGCTTAAGAAATGATGAGAAAAACCTTTGTTCCCTCTATATTCCTCTGCCTTGTGAAGAAAAATGGGCATCCATTATGTTTAAAATTCTTAATTGGATACATAGATAACTTAGGCACTAAGTGAGAGTTCTAGAAACTATTGGTTGTGTGAATTGGAGAGATAAATGCTTAGTGAAGACCTCTTAAGCATAATGGAATACATATTTTGATGATGACAAAGAGTTTACAAAAGGTCTCAAATTGAAGATGGAGTTTGAAGATACAAGTGATTAGGTATTTTTAAATATTTTGTTTAGAGACTGACAGTTACACTAATTCTATTATAATTGCTGCGTTTATACTCTATAAATTGCTAAGGTACGCTTTCTGTTACAACATTGTTCTTAGCATTGCGAAAAACTATTTTGGGCATATAGGGACTGAAGAAAAATTGTGTAATTGTTTACTAAATTCAAAAATATTTTTGAAAAAGTTGAGAACACCTATTCACCCCCCTCTAGGTGTTCCGTAAGCGTCCTGTGTAAGAAGCCACTTGCCCAACAAGTGGTATCAGAGCCTCGTGCTCTGAGTGATTGGCTATCTGCCAAACAGTTAAAGATCCTATGGCTTCTTTCCATCAGGATATTCCTCTTGAGGGTGGTTCCACCTATCGCCCTCCGTTTTTCAATGGGATTGACTATCCCTATTGGAAAACAAGGATGCAGATTTTCCTTGAGTCGGTAGATCTTAAAATTTGGTATAGTGTAGAGGAAGGATATCAGCCTCCAACTAGACTAGATGACAATGGTAAAAATGTGCTTAAAAAATACACAGAGTTTACTAGAGCAGAATTAGATAGTGCCCAATACAACTCAAAAGCAAAGAACTTAATAGTTAATGCACTTGGTAAGGATGAATACTACCGAGTATCTTCATGTAAGACCGCACGTGATATGTGGCTTATTTTAGAAACAACCCATGAAGGTACTAGTGAAGTAAAGCGTTCTAAACAAAATGCATTATCTAGGGAGTTTGAGCTCTTTG